TCTTTTGTGTTTAGATACCTGAAAAATTGAGATGCTGGGCAGATTTGCTTAAGAGCGAGCTGTAGAATTTTCTCCTTAAACCCTTAAAATTAGCTTTAAAAGCAGTAATGTTTATTAACAAGATGAAATTTATAGATTTTATTTAAACTTTAAGATAAATGAGCTGATTAAAAGCTCTGAATACATTCTTCCATAAATAAGAATATACATCATAAAATATAGTACTTGTAAAAGGTTTTCAAACAAACTTTTACAGATTTAAAGGATTCCACAATGAATACTAGCTTAAAGTTCTGGCTCTAAAAAGAGGTAGAAAACCTATTTCACTTTAACATAAAAATGCAATTGTTTTCCATTGTCATTCATTGGCACACGTTTTCAGAGGTATATAAGAGCAGCATGTAGCTTTGGTGACAGACGTATGTCTCCCCTAAAGGAACGGTGATGTAAGTTTTCAGACCATTTACAGTACAGTGCTAAGTGCATAGAAAAGCTAGCTCAATTATCTACCAGAAGAGATGTAAAAAGTCAAAGCTGTAAATCAAGTGACTAACTTTCACCACGAAATGGAAAATTAACTTTAAGAATTTAGTCTGTTTTACAGCTAACAATTTTCTAGTAGCTCAGTGACTTAAAACAGCAGCAAAAATATTGTACCGACACTATAACTGCTTCCAAAAACATTTTCAGTAACTCAGAGTATTGAAGGTCTATAAATGGCTGGGTTTTTCACAGTATAAGGAAGACAAAAGTCTAAACGCAGTCATCACTGTAATGAAATAAACTTAATCAAATGAAAGCTTCTCAAATGCTTGCATTTATTCACAGGCACATAATCAACTTCATTCTGTCCTGTCAAAGCTTAGAAGCAGATGTATTAGATTTCCGAAGAAAGTCAAGTAACAAGTTCATAACCTTGTTACTGGCAAACACATGAAAAATTGGACTTAGCATCAAATACCAACATATGCAACAATGCTTTTTGGTTTTAAGTATCAATAAATTTTATTTTTTTGAAGCACTGACTTTAAAGGTAGCCCAATTAGGTTATAGTTGAAAAGTTCACTTAGACATACAGACAGTCTCGATGTCTTCTGCAATATATTGCTACTACACTGTTCAGGGTTTTGTTGTGTTATTCATTTGTTTGCTTTAAAATGTAGCAACTTAATATTTTGGAATGAATTGCTACATGTATCAGCTGGCTCAAAACCAAAATCAGAGCAAAACTCTAAATATTAGAAATAATATTAACTTAAATTCCGGTTACTGCATTATTTTTTTTAAACAAAACAACCAACCCAATCAAATCCCAAAAACAATCCCCTTTTTAACAGGATGCTGAAACACGACATACTGCAACCAACTTCTAAATCAAAAACTAAAATACCGCCTTTGGACAATATTCATTCAAGGAATGTTTGGTAATTCCAATTAAGAGGTAACAGTTTTTCCTGACCAGATAAATCTAGACATTTTATGAAGTGTTAGCTACAGGTGTAGCTACTATGACTGCACTGTGGTAAGACTGAGGAACACGTCTGATCACATCAATCAGAAAAAGATTTCAGACTTGAAGGGCAATTCAGGGTATGGAGATGTCACTAAAGGCTTCTCATTAAATCTCTCCCTGCCTCTGCCAAAGACAGATTCTGCTGTACATTGATGTTGTACCTAAAATTAGTGACATTTGGTACTCTAGGTTCTTACCCTGTTTTTTTGATTCCATTTCTGATAGCTTATAAAAAAATACTAGGAAAGAGCCACACAAATAGTTTTTATTTTGAATGTATCCTGAAGTACAAGCCCAGAAATGGTGGTCTAAGTGTTGCTTATGTGGCATAATCTCCATCTAAACGTAGCAAACCTCCACATGGATGAAGAACAGTGGTTTTGCAAAATTAATACCTCAACTTCTGAAAAAGAACAACAGAATTTGGGTCTGCATATTAATAGACATTCTCCTTTATAGAGCAGAGGTCTAATCCATTACAAGTTAATTTGTGTCTTCATCTTCTCCCACAGTCTAGATAATGTAAAATTTGAAGAAAAAACTGGAATTTAAATTTAAAGGTGCTAAGAGACATTACAATCTGTGTGTCAAAAGCTGTTTTATAAATGCAGTTTACTCATAATAAAAGGATTTCAGTAATATTTACATGTCCTCATATACTCAATTAAAAGTCCTTATAGTAGGTTAGCCTACATTTCTGCTCAGATTTTAATTGTGAACATTGGCAGAACTAGAAATTTGCATATCAGAATCCTCTTCTACAAAAGTAACAACGATCAATCATTGTATTTTACCAGAAAAACATTTTTTTACTGTTATAAAACCTTTTTCAGAATACTTTTCAGAATGACAAGTGGTATCATTCATCTTCTCTTAAAATGGGATGAATTATCCCCTGGACTTGTTCTAATCCTATCCCACTCCACTGACAGAAAACCTAGTTGGGATGAGACACCTAATCTCTCAAAACAGCTCAAATTACACAGTCCACAGTCATGGCAAAAATCCAGATGCACATCTCTGGAGAACAGTGTTCATCTAGCAAATGACACAAAATACATACAAATCCAAAGCTGTAGTAAGACCTTCCCTCTTTCCCCCAGTGAAGTTCAATCTTCTCTGAAAAAAAAGCAAGCACTGAGGGAGATGTGCTAAGTTCTGCCATCTGGGATCTCAGACTCAGGACTGTATCTATTCCTACCTCCAGCTTGAAAATCAGCTAGGAATCTACATAAGATTCTGTAAACCAGTTCATGAAGAGTGATAACAACTACAAATACAACTCCCAGCTTTAAAAATACCATTAAATAATAATTTTTTTAAAACCAGTGTTGTTCTAATGCAGTAAGTTTCATATGGTGGCAGATTTTAGAAACTATCAAAGCTGCTACATGCAGAGACCGTTTCCTCTCTTATTCTGATTATTACTTTATTCCACCAACAGCTCCAACAGATTTGTGCACGAAGAGCCCATTAAGATGGCAGAACAAAATCAGAAGTAAAACAAAGTAGTAAGCCAAAAGGGTCATGAAGGCCAAGGAAAACAATCTTCCACAGAAATCAGATCCTGCACATTTCACAGACAGCCTTTCACCAGCCCCAGTGCAGTTCTGCCACTGCCTTTCATTCACAGCCATTTGAAAGTAAAAAATCTACTCTAATTCTTCTGTCTGAACAGCAATTTGTAGGTTAAGCCAACTGGGGGATTTAGCTACAAGTATATTTAGACACACAAGTTACCTTATATAGATACACCATAGCATTATCTAATCAAGTAACTTTTCTGATTTACAAAAACTATGTATAATCTTTTTTAGAAAAAGTTAAGACTAGAATACCAGCACATAGATTACTGATAATGGCGACAGTGGTTTGGTTAACTAGAATAATCTTACTCAGTTAAAGCAGTTTTAATGACTTACTGATAGCTTGAACTGCTGGCTTGTATGTAAGCAGACAAAACAGGTGCTTACTTTACATTTGTCCTCCATTTCAGAAAGTCACTGTGTGAATTAAGTCTTTCCAGCCAGCTCAAATAAATTGACCCTAACAACGCACTAGAACTAACTGAGGCACTTCAGGCAAGATTAATGAGATAGGTTAAAATTAATGGGTCAGGCTGGCTGTACTACAGTATCAAGAATATACTTGATTGGCTGTGGGTAGCAGATTTCCTCTTATTATTTGTATAAGATGCAGACTGCGCTGGTCTAGTATTTCCTTATAAAGATAACAGGTATCTTGGATGGAGTGGAGACAACTAACACAGAAGCAAGTAGTAGGTTCATCTCTACACAGAATCAACACATCATTTTAACCTAATGGCTATTGAGATTTCTTCTGTTGGCAAAACATATGTCCAGGGGACAGAATTCCTTACACATAGCTATTCTAGGCTTTATTATAAATGGCAGTCACTGTAGCATCTAGGCACTAAGATAATACTTCATACAGAGCTAATAATTACAGTCAGTATTTCCCACTAAGTTTGTCCACGTGTGGAATTTAGCATTATATGGCAGACCACGAAGTTACAGCGTTGTAACTATTACAGATTAATTTCATGTATGGACATGTATGATGAGAGAGTTGATTCTCCAGTTAAAATAGGAAAAAACCCTGCCCTGTCTACTTGGAAACAGCGTGGTATAGCAACTGCACTGTAAACTCACAGCGTATCTCAACGTTTGCTAGCTTCTACACATGGACAAAGTCCAAGGAGTAATTTCAGAATTGACAAAATTCCAGAGGAAACTGGCAATGTTTTAAAACAACATTACAGCAAATTGTTTATGAATCTGCTGGAATCCTTCCTGAATAGAAAGCTACACAGAATATTGTTGTTTTCTTACTCTCACAAAAAGTGAAATGTATAAGACTTTCATAAACTCACAAATGTTCAACTCACACCGATTGAACAAATGATTTGACAGAAATAACAGTTCTACATAAAGGAGTACATTCTAGTTTGTCTAGACACAACTGTGGCAGCTTTTAAATGTAGCACAAGGTGATTATAAAAGTATACTACTTGGCTGTGTAGTTTTTGTGCTAGTCACAGTGTGCTTGAAATGCATTGAGTTTCAACCAGCATAATTCAGATCTGCAAGAGATGCAAGTTCAGAACATATGCACTGTATGGCATAGTGAGTAAAAAAAAGTCTGTTTCAACAAAGAAGTGTAATGAAATATCAAAGTGTCGACAAGGCAAAGAGCATATTGAGATGTTACACGGTATGATTTATGTGCTTACACACACATAGTTAAGTCACTCAGTTGTCACAGTCAGGAAATAAACACCATGAAAAGCTTTCTAAGCAACACGAATAGAACCACAAACTTTTCATAAAGCATTCACAGTTCTGTCCTCTCTCCCATATAATGTAAACTACTGATGATATTAATCTAGGCATTTCTTTGTTGAAATTTGCCCCATCTCCAGTGTTAAGGTTCTAGGCTGCACTGTTCTTCCTGTGTACAATGAACATCACACAATACAACACAGCACATGTAGAAGAAGAGAAAAGGTTACGAAGTGTGGTACTTTGTATAAATGCATTTGTCCAAAGGCCAACATTGCAACAGACAAAGGAAGTGGAACTTTGGCTGCGATCTTCAAGAGTTTACTGTAAGAACATAAAGAAAAAAATTGCCATTTTTGTAGCCATACACGCAGAAGGTATGCAAATATTTTTTACTTTCTTTTGAAAAATAATTCATCGATTTTAAGGATTTGTTTATTTTTAAAACAGAACAAATAGATGTAATGGGTACTGATGCATAAGCAAGAGCAATTATTAAAAAATGCTAATTAAATGCCATTTTCAAATATTCTTATATTAATTTAGAAATAAGTTCTCTGCAACCAAGAAAGATTTCATGTTTTAGATCATTTGAGTTAACAGGTACTGGTCAAGAGGATAAACTACATTGGTTGTTACTCATTGTCTTTCATGAGGGACTATTTTCATATCTGAACAAGAAATGCTCTACCTGTCAGCAAAACCAAGTGCTCAAAACTTCTTAATCTGGTAGAAAGCGCATTACATTTCCAGAACTATGCCCAGAAGGGGGAATTACAAGAAGGTAACTATAATGGTTTAGAATTTGCTTTTCCTGGAAATTTTCTGAAAAGAATTGCTAAATGTATTAGGATTCTGTAACATTTGGAAGGATTCAATTAATTCCAAATGAAAAAGTCACAGTTAAAGAAGTCTTTATGCAACTGGTTGTTTAGATAGCAAATAACGTCATTTAAGTCCATGTGATAAATACCAGTGACTTTCTCCACTAAGCTGAACTACAAGTTATTTTCATGCCTTTTACTCAGTCTTTAATATTTAGCCATACAAGTTTATGAACCCCTATGTAGGCTGAATGATTACATGCCTGTGCAGCAGAAATTGAGTTTTACCACACAAATGGAAGTAGTAAGAAAAAAGCAGGAAAACTAAAACAGCGAATTAGGCTACAGTACCTTGATTTCATTTTAGAAGTACTTGAATTCATGAGAATTTCTAAAATGCATATGAGGATAATAGCTGTAGATCTACATGGATCAGGATCAAGTCTAACATTGTACCTGCAAAAAATGGTTTAAAAAGCATGTTATTTCTAAACTAGACTGCAAGATAAATTCCAAGTTGGGAATAAGCATGTTCTGATATCAACAAACATACGTGAAATGTATATGGCATCACAGCCTGACTTGAAATCCTTTCTGAATCCTTCAGCATATCACTCATCACTTAACACCCACTGATAAAATGACATAAACCAGATTGCATAGGAAAAAAGTTATAATAAACAGAAGTTTTTGATAGCATAATTTACCTAATAATGTAAGGAGTCAAACATTTGCAATTTTTTTACTATCTTCAAAGGTTCGTATTATTTTCTACCACCTTACCAGTAATTTAGGAAGTTACCTGAGATTTTTTGACCAATAAATTAAAGATGGCAAGTTGAGCAGCACAATCCATGTGAATAAATTCAGAATTGTTACATGCATCTTAAGACTGTTAATGGCTTCAGCAATTGTTGTACTGTTGGAAAGAGACTGTGTTGCTTTTGAGGTACTGTCCATCAAACTCTGGTTTTTGACTGTGTGTATACTGGAGTTGTGTGAAGTTTCTTTTGAGTGGTCCGAATCCTGAAAATAAAAGGCAAAGGTCATAAAAATCATGCACAGACCTGTAAGAATCCATGCTGGGGGAGGAAGAGGGAAAAACTATCCCAACAGTGTCATACCAGCTCTGATTTAAGAAGAAAATTTGCAATTTCTCTCTCAAAAAACCATCAAAAGGAAAATTCAATAGTCAATTTTTAAAGCATCTAGATTTAACCAGAAATTTCTTTTACACTGATAGTTTGTGTCTTTGGAAGAAAAGAATGGAGAGTGGAAATGCCCTGACAGCAATGCAGTGATTAGAAATGGAGTTCCTGGAAGGAAGAAGAATAGACTAAAAGAAGTAATAAGGCATACGGGTCATGCAGGTGAAAATCACTGATGATCGTTCATGGAAAAAGATACAGGAGGTAATGCAACTGGGAGTAAAATCCTAGCTGTAGGAATAAATAGCAAAGATAAACTAATAAGTTGGCAGATGCTACCTTCCAATGACAGAAAAAAAACAACCAACAAATGAAACAAAACAAAAAAATATATGGGGATGGAAGAAGAGAAGGAGAGGATCTAAAACTAAACAAACAAAAAATCACTCAGAGAAACCCAAAGAAAACTGTCAGCAACTTTTTCTAGCAGACTACTTTAACTACATTTGCAAAAAAGAACAGGTAGTTGTTATATGTTTGTATCCACGCATGCTTACATCTTGGATCCTATTCTTTAAAGTAACTGAAGAATCAAAGTTCACAATGCATGAAATCCAATGCTGCTTCACTCCTTTTTAAACAGCTTTAAACTGCAGTCTCACATCCATCTAATAAACCATATTTGTCATCCTCTGATTTAAAAAAAAGAGCCTAAACTCCACAAACTACCTATATGTAAAAAATATTTACCTGTAGTATAGATTATCTAGAAATTAAATTTATTTTTTTAGATAAGGCATGTATAATCAAACACCAAAATTTAGACCAAAACTGTTGTTCTGTGTGTATTCAGAGACTAAGTTTTCTTCTTAATTGTACTTCAGACAAGTTCACACTGCAGCTATCTTGAACAGTGAATGCAAGAGTCATACGTGATGGAACAGGCTACTCATGTCCTGGCTTTTCTTTCACATCATGCACACAGGAAGTAAACTACAGCCATCACAGCACAGCTTAATACTACCAAGGCAAGATGGTAACAATTCATAATGCGTATGTTTGCCAAACAATTTTTGGTCACAATTTTGAACAGAAGCAGGAAACAGACTTACCCCATTAAGTATGTTTTGTTGTGCTCTTACATTCACATGTAGTTTTATAACCTGCAAGACAGACAGTTCAGCTTTTTTAGCAATGTTTCCTCACACAAAAGCTGTAGTATAGAAGAGAAAAAAAAAAATAGGCCTAATTCTTTTTTGAACTTTTTTACAGCTAGATGATTCTAGGGCCCCCAGTAGAGCTGCAATGCAAGAACTCCCTCTGCCTTTTTTATCAGCAGCATCCAAAGTGCTTTCTTAAGGAAGGATTTCCAAGCACAGAGAGAAAACTTTGCTGCTCTGCTTTCTCCCATTCCACTGTGCTTGACAAAGAACACAGAGTAGAAAACGTGCATATTCCTCATCTCCTCCTGCTAATTCAGTTCTACTTCACTTTCTGGAGAAACCCATAAACAGGACACATAGGACAAGACTGAAGTCAAAGATTTATTGCAGAAGGGGGAGTAATGTCAGCATGGAAACATCCATCACAGAGTAACCTTATTTCACAGGGAGTTCAATTAGAGATAGCCCTGTTCCTCAGGCTGTGCTTTCAGCTACTACCTACCTACTTCAAGATCACCTGTAAGCTGCAACACCTCGTGTTCTTACTCCAAGATGCATGCTCCAGTGCTTCCCTAAGCTAAGTATAGTAGCTGATTTAGCAGCTATATAATCATAGGGCGACTCAGATAGGTTTGACATTCTGATGCAAGGAAGACCATGCAAACTGATTGGCAGGGACTAAATATGGATGCCTGAGGCACTAGCCAAAGGATCAGATTAGATATACAGAAAGACTATCCTAACTCTACAATATATCCACTCTTCTTCCTTTTGCTCCATGAAGATTTGTGAAAAGTCTTTAATGAAAAAGTGTTCCAAGTCCCCTTTTTGCTAAAGTTTCTCTTCAAAGGAGTTATTAGTCTTTGATTTTGTAACATTACCTATCCATGAGTTAAAAATCGCAACTGTATGTGTTACTGTAGCGGGCATATGGGGCTGCACATTTCTTCGGAAAAAGCATTATCAAAAGAACAAAATAATTCAAAAGATTACAAGATTGTGAGAGTCTAAGAAGTTCAAAAAAGACCCATTTCAAGCATGTAAATAACATTTCCTTTAAGGATGCGAAATGGTAATGTCTATTTTTGCTTTTAACACAGGGTTAATTCAAAGCATACAAAAATTTGAATTCAGTTATAGACTCAAGATGTTTTAACCTTTCAGTACCTTAAACAAGTATTGAAGATAAACAATGAACACAGCAAATGCACCACAAGTGATCCAGCTAACCAAACCAAAGGATAACACCCCACAAAGTCTTCTGGGTGTAATCAACTTGTTATCTTTTTGAAGTACAGTAGGTCTAAAGAAAGACAAAATGGCTGTTTTAGTCTTGTAACAACATCAAAACAAAAAAGATCAAAGAATAACGATTTTGTGAATGACTGACAAGAATAAATCACTCCTGAACTAAACATTGGAAAAATAAAGCTAGACAAATTTGAACATACATAAAACAAACAAACCCAACCAAAACACTTTCATATCAAATGACCTAACAAAACAATCTTACACCTTTCAGAAATTATTATTTCCCCCTCCAACCCTCCCACCCCTTTTGAATCCCTTTTGAAGATGTGGAATAAGGAACATAAGGTAACCTTCATACTTCATTAGTACTTAACCCTGACAAACCCAGATGGCTAAAAACATGTATTAACTCTATTGCACAACTTATTCTGCCCAAGCATTCCCACTGAAGCAAACAGGAAAAAATGATGTGGTCACAGTCACCTAAAAGAGCATAATTATACAGCATAATGTTGTTTTACCTTATCAGAGTCAACCATAATGAAGAGAAGAGTCTCAGAGATGTAGAGAAAAACAGTCCACTCCAGTAGGCAATGCCTGTCCCAAAAAGAAATAGAATCAGGGACACAAGGGGGAACCATGCATCCTGACTACTCAGTACAGCAGCATCCACCTCTGGTAGTGACAGTGATTCCCATATCTCTCTAAACCAGTTAAACCTGCCAAAAACATGAAAGCAGTATTACTTATCACTTCCAATTGCCATTACAGTATGATATATGTATCAAGTACTCTTCCTACTACAGTTTTTCAAACAAAAATCACAGTCACGTGTTCACAATGACTACAGATAAAATAAAAAAATATTCCACCCCACCAATAGTTTTACTGAAACTTCTGTTTTTGGAAACTGCTTTAAATAAATAAGTTATGCAAACTCACCCCTGCAGAAACACAACAATGCTTATAAGAGCTTCTACTTTGTAGGGTTTAGCTGTCCTAACTAGTTCAAGGGAAAAGTCTGAACACTGGCCTAGAATCAAGAACAGAAAGCATCTATAATTATTATTTTGTCATGAACTTTAACAAAGACGACCCACAACAAACAGTAAATTCAGATAAAGGCTTGAAAGTTTACTTTAAAACAAGATAGCCATGTCTTATAACAGTACTGTAAGTCAGCATACTTCATCATCAAGGCCCTTATTCACTGGATCACTCATATTCAGGTAATGTGTCACAAGAGCTTCTAGAGAGATTACAAACACCATCTGAATTTAGATAAAAATTCATTTTGTCTGAAGTTAAGTCTGCATATCTCATCTTCATGCAAGAAATAGTGTTTTGTGCATATTAACATGATACTTGAAGCTTTAACATGTATTTTTAAGTAGATTTCTATTAATTCCAGGATACTGTGCAACACTAATCATTCACAAAGAAGGGATTGCAGAATGAAATAAGGAGACATTCTGCTACAACACAACCTTGGAGAACTACCAACAAACAAAAACTGAAACTGAAAGGCACAGACGCAAGTACTTGCACAACTTCAAAGATACTTAGCTTAAAAAATTCACACCAGCTAGCAAGTCTTTCAAGAGTAAATTGGGTAATTTCTCTAAAACCAACTTGCGACAGAAAAAAAAATCTAGAAAGCTACCTGTTGATATCAATGTGCTCAATTGTCCTCCGTAAGTAAGGAGAATATTAGAAACAACATAGACAGGAAGAGCTCCAGCATGGAACCTTATTATCTGAAAGACATGGATATAAGGATAACTTTTAATTTATATATGTATAAATATATCTTAAAAATACACACACAAAAACATTATCATGAAGCCAGCATGGCAACGTGATTGGAAAAGCTTTCTCGGAAGATTCAAACAGTTTCTCATTTTGGTAGATAAGTATCTGATAACCATCATAAGTAATTAAAGTCATATGTGGAAAATACTCGGATCTCTCATAAATGGTTACTCAAACACGGTTTGATAAATGACCAAATTATAAATTAATACTTTTTTTTCTAGTCAAGATAAATACTAAAAGAATACAGGAGCATGTTAATGTTAATTAAAAAATTAAAAGGCCACTTTATAAGCAAAATGTGCATATAGTTATATATGCTTTTGGGCAACAGAATTTTTGGAAGCAATTTCATGTATGTTTTAATTGACTTCTATGGTCCCAAGTCATGAAGGATTATCTTATTAATACAGAAATAGCACAGAAATTCTTCTAAAGCGCTAACAAAATTAAAAATCATTGATAAAAATATCTACATTCAAATAGAGAAACTTGCCACCACTATTCCAGCACTACACTTAGATGTTTGCAAACTAATTACTTTTTAGAATCAGAAAACTGCAGATGGCTAGACTATTTTTAACCAAGGTCAAAATGTATTCTTCATTGATAACCCAAGAAAACGTGTTGAAAAGCGGCATATGGAGCTACTTAGACTTACTTCCCTAATTATTAGTTGATGCCAAATGTATTTTAAAGTTTTAACACTACTGACTCATCAGGCAAGAAAGTGAAAGTGACCTACGCTGCCATCCCTTTACCATTCAGCTAACCACAAAGCCAAATGCTCAACATTTACGTTAGCTCTTTGGAGCTAGAGTGCTTTTCTACTCTTCTGAAAACTAAGGCCTGACATTTATCTGGATGAGAGGGAAGAAAGGGAAGGAAGGACGGGGAGGAAGAACTTCTATAGATGATACTGACATAAAAAACAATCTAGTACTAGAAGGTTGTCTTACTTGCCCAAGAATCTGTGAAAGTGATGTCTTCAGAATTACCTATATAAAAACCCAAATAGTTTTTAAAACAATGGTAAGCGTAAGTGCAAACTACTTTTATTTTTAAGAAGCCAACTTAATTAATAGAATACAGAAATCCCATAATTAAAAAGTACAACAGCTTACTACTGACTTTTTAAAAACAAATGCTTTAAAATTTTTCTTAGAAATGAGAGCCTATCTTTCAGTATTACTACAACTGTTGCAAAATACATGTAACATGTACTACATTTACAAAAAGGCCAAGCAGCTCACCTTCGGATTTGCTTAGTATTTATTTTGATTAACTATTTACGTATTTTAGAAGACAGTTACACAAAAAATATACAACAACGCAAACTAACTATAAAGTAAATTTGTATTACTCACTTCATACTGACAGTCTGAGGAAGAGTAAATATTTAACACTGGAACCCTGCTGTCATTTTGAGGCTGAGCAATATGCAGTTTTGCAGAAATCTCAGTAAAAGACGGAACTCTGAAACAACAACTTAATTGGTAATTGTTGTCCTTATATTAAAAAAAAAAGCCAAACACACCTTAGTCTTCAACAAGTGTACATAAAGCAGAAATAGTATACCAAGTGTCACTGCAAGCAATGAACGAAATGGTATAATGAAACTGTTTATCCAGTCACAAAGAACTACGTAACATTCTCAGTCCCCTCTTCTCTGAGCTATCAAGGGGCATGGTACTAATGAAAACAGACAAGTTTAGCATTAATGTATACGCTGCCTCACAGAACATGTAGATGTGCTGAGTGACAAGAATGGGAAGGACAGATTCTCAAGAATACAATTCAGATTCCTGCAAGTATTACATTTTTAGAAAATACAGGGAAAAATAGGGAGGTATCATTAAGACTTCTGAAAAAACCCAGGGAAGACAGTTTTCCAACCATCTAAAATAAAGTCAGGTTGTTCAGCTGCAATTTCTGAGTGGCACAACTTCAAGCCACGTAATCTGATTTTGTCAGGACTACGCTGAAGCAACTTAGGGCTGTTGTGTGATCCAAACGCTGGGTTATAGAAAGAAGCCAGCATCCAGAGTACCCTCTACTCCCCTTTCATGAGGAGGTCAAAGATTACACTGACAATTTCAGACCAGCAAATCAGACTTCCTTTGAGACAATAAGTGAGAACTCTTAAACAACTAGTAGAAACTCTTATTCTGAGGAAAAGTCAAAACAACTTTGTCAACAAGGGCAGAAAGGCAAATGAGGAAAACATACACAGGCCAAACACTTAAGAGTGGTGAAGCTGACTCGTATCAAAAATTTTACCATAACAGGATGTAAACATTCTTCAAAAACATATCAAGAAGCTATAATTGTTAAAATCCTTACTTCGCTACAGTTATCGAGTCTTCATGTGACCAGGGTATATGAAGTCTGTAAACACTAGGTTTTCTTTCTGAAATGCCAGAGAATGAAAAAATAAAAAATTAATTAAGAACAAGATGTGGCAACTGTCTCCAAAAATTAAAATGGAAGTAAAACAGAAGTGACATCTAGATCACCATACAGTGCTTGCAGTTACATTGCAATTGACATTGCAAGGTAGATCAGTTACCACTGAACAAAAATGAGATTTTTTTAAACATATGCTGTTACGGAACAAGACAGCGAGATATCCACATTTAAAGGCAGGACAGTATGAAGAAAACTTCTGTTTTTCAATACAAAGCTGTAAACTCAAGCAGATAAACCCAACTCTTTTTTACCGGAACAAAGTCATTTAGTGAAGTCCTTTATATCTTCTGTTTAAGCTCATGTAGCTCAACATTCAAATTTGAGTCCTATAATCAGCAAACAGAAATCCTAGCCAAATGTGCTACTTTTGAGAAACACTTTCATCATAATGCAGAATCCTGCTGGATGTTAAGCTTCCTTTTGTTGGGAAGAAAAAAAAACCAAACCAGAACAAAAAACCTGTATGAGGACAAATTCTACATTTTCTGTGAGTTACTTTTCTTGACAAAAAGTGGAAGTGAGAGATATTAGCAGAGACATTTGAGTAGATGATAACAGTACTGCCTAAACCCCATTGTATGAAGGAACTTTCGTTTTCATCAGCTTTAGAATTTTCAAGAAGCTTTGTTTTATAAATTTATAATTCAGAAAACTTATATTTACCTTTGAGTGACTGGCAGTGGCTCTCTATATAAATTTTGAAAGCTTGATATATCTAGAATATAGAAGAAGAAGAAAAAAAAATCACATTCTCCCACGAGTGGTTACATTAGCTTAAAAAAATTAAGTAGCATTCTTACTTGGTTAAAGTGCTGGAGCTGTACATTGTAAAGTAACCCAGTTGAATTTAATAGAATTTTGCTTGAAGAAAGCCCTGTAAATGATGTATTATTTTCACATATTAGATAAAATTATTTGAGACCTCACTACGTCTTCAGATAAGTTTTTTCTAGGAGACTTATATGCTTCTATATCTATTTGTTAAAACTCCCACATTTCTTATTTGTCTGCTATTAACTTAAGGAAAAACAAAACCTCAGAAACTTCCCTGACCATTGCAATTTTTAAGCAAATTTATTATGCAAATATTAGTTATATTAGTTTTCTGGTTTTTTTCCAAAAGTAATATGCTATACTTACCAAAAGAAAAAAGATGTGTTACAGGAAGCCGTACCGTTCTGGACTCCTCTATGAAGAATTCACAGTCCAAAGTATACTGCAATTGAGGGTATTAAATACAGACCTAAACTGAACACAAGACTTAAAACCTTTGCATTTGCCAAATTCTATTCACAGTCTCAGGCAGAGTACAGGACACAAATACTGAAAAGCCATCTCTCCACACTCCATTGTTGGGGACTGCCAGGTTCCTGCTCGCAGCAGTACATGTTTGGGTAGCTTAAGCATAACTTCCAGGATACTTTGGCTCTCACCCATTTGCAATAGCCTTCAAAAGTCTATTCAAATAGCTGAGAATAACTAGAATCCAATTCACACCCCTTCTTCTCAGGTACATGGGTTTTTTTGGGAAAAGTGGTGTTGCAAAGGAAAGCAACTCGTCCAAACTCGACACAAATTCCTAAGCAGAAAGAGCCTTCAGTTTGTCTCCTGAAGTTCAATCATGCAAAAGCAAAGCAAAGTCTCCAGCAAATATGAGTTGTACCGTGTCTAATAAGTATTTCGTTAACTTGAAAATTATTTTCTGTCCCATTGTAAATCCAGCATTTGTTCACTTTTCAAAAGTAGCTTCCAAGATTTAACACTGGACTGCAACTTAGCAGTTACATTTCACAAGTGATCTCTCTTTCATCTTTGCTTAGATCATTGTATATTACTAATTTAACTGCAAGCTGTCTTTGTCATAAGTATCTGAAGAGACACTCAGAGAAGCATTATAATCACTTCAGCTGTGAATAATCTCTTGGATGATGGATTATTATACCACAGACACAGAGACTGTATTTGTGTTACAGAAAGGAGTGTCAGATCTACTTAGACTTTAAGTTCAGTGATCTGCAATTTTCAGGACTAACTAGAAAGACCTGCCAGACCCAGCTGGGTAATACACAAAGTCAGTTTAGATTCACTGCATGTGCTCCTCTTACTGGGATCCTATGAGGCCTTCGTGCAAAGATGTCCAACTCAGCTGTGAGATTCAGAATTACCCTATCAAATGCTGCACAACTCAGTCTACCACATTATTTGTGGTCTCAGAGCTTGCAGAGGTATCTCCACCAAGATCCTCAGAATCTGTATGTGGTGTCTTCAGTTATCTACAACATTCTCTGCTATCATGGATAAGAGAGCTGACTGTTCAAAAAGACAAATATTCAAAGATAAATGTTCAAAAATATAAATATTCAGGAATGCAATCAGAATATTAAGAAAAATAAGGAAGAATATAATTGGAACCTCCAACAAGAACTCTAGGAACTGGTTTGACAACTGTTGCTGTGTGTTTCAAGTACTATTCATGTCTTGCATTTGGTGTTTTATCAAATGAAAATGTTTCCTAGCTCACAGAAGATAACAAAGTTACCTTCAAACCACACTGGAGTGTAAGTTTATGGTTTCTCAAAGTAACTTTGCACATATTTAATACAGTATCTGAAAGCTATAAACACACTAAGCAAGCAATTTCTGCGTTTCTTTTTTTTTTTTTACCTTCTTGCCAGCTGTGGGTGGTACCTGAATGACAATGTGGGACAAAGAAGGATAGTCCTCAAGTTTCAGTATTACAACCTTAGGAAAAAAAAAACAAAGAAAAAGAAAAGCTATTACTGAACATACCCCTTAGCTTGTCTCTTGCCAGTTCCCAGATGTCCAACTCTTGTACCCCTTCCTCTGTAATACAAATGCCATGTTTCAATGCTACAAACAGAACATATTCTTCTCCCATAACATGCAGCTACCCCACCAAGTGCCCTTCCTTCCTACAAGTTATGCACAGTACTTACTTTGGTAGATGGAAGCAACTCAGCTTTCCAGGATAAATCAGTAGCTTCCAGGCTGTAAAAATTAATGCACATTAAAGGACAAACATAGGCATTACGTTATGACAGTGGATTAACATACCAGCTTTCCTCCATCTCTACATGGATTCACATGATTTCAAATTGACAGATTTGGATCTACTGCAGTTAGCTACCGTTGAAATTTATCCCTTCAGATAGTGCAAATCTTGTTTTTTTGCAAAAACAAGTTACGCAAAGTTCTAACTTTGTCATACACAAAATATTTAGTAGTTATTAGCTATGTAACTTCCAACACATAATGAAAACCCTTAATGCATTAAAACAGCACTGGCACTGAATTAACACACAGTTTTATTTGCATCTTTTAAAAATCAAAAGTACCAATTTTTCCCATGGGAACATCTAAACCATACCATATAAAACAAAAATATTGTTAGCTGCTGCAGAGCTTGCAGCAGTTGTAAAATGGTGTGTACTTATATTAGGTTAAAATGACTGAATGTGTTGCAGTTCAGTGTGTTATGATATTTTCAAAATTTTACTTCTGTTTCTCCACATAGTGCTACATGATCTCAGGGGGGACAGTCCACAGTAAAAAACACTATTATTAGAGGAGGTTTTGATGCTGACTCAAGGTTATATGGAGGAGTAACAGTCAACTTCTCCTCAGATCAGGAAAAAGTAATTGTGACATGTGGCTGTCAGCTGCATACAAGAGTCTGTGGCTACAGAGCTCAGCACAGATCCCACAACAGCTAAATACTGCGCTAGCTCAATTCCACCCAGAAGCTTTCCCTAATCTGAAGGGTTGAATAGATTGAATTTATTTTGAACTGACTTCAGAAAGGTAAGCTAAGCCAGTGTTTTAAATCCATTTTGTAATGATCATACTGACCTGATTAAAATAATCACTTAATCACCCATATTTCTTCATAATTTTCATATGACAATAGCAATTTTGGAATAAGAAAAAGAAATAAGAGATGCTTCAATCCACTCTTCTGAAGGCTCTGAGTGACATTTGATGTCTTCTGTCATAGGATTCTAAAGAGATGCTACAAAACACACAATTCGGGAATCCAGTACAGCAGGTAGTGTCCACAACAGAGCAACAGAAACAACTTTTCACTGCTATGGAAGTCAAAAATACAGCTTAAAGAAGAAAAAGATCACCTATTTTATTCTGCATTCATGCAATAATTTTGAAAAAAAAACTACTTTCCTCTTTTCTTGGTGAAACAGAAAGCATGAATTATTCACACTAAGGATTTTACTTTTCTTCACAATCTCTTCCTTCCTAAGCACAAGGAGATTTTATGCCTGAAATTCAAGTGTAGTCTCAAAAGATCTATATGAATAAAGAACAGGAACTGCTTATACTCACCACATTGATGAATTACTGTTCACACAGCCATAAATCCAGCTACTTGTGTCCTGTAAAGTCAGTATCATAAAATAGTAATTACTTATGTGTGAATGTATTTATAAATATATTTAAAATAGCCTTTCTTATATCCAAACAATGCTGAAGTTAATGCAAATAATCTTCTCCAAAATTTCTACATACTGTTTCAGTACAAAAGATGTTAGAAACTGTTCTAAAAATCCTCTGACAGCAGAACCTTGGTGCAATTAACTTAGTAAAAGAGGAACAAACTTCCATCTTCATTTCACTCCTTTCCTATTAAATGCGTCTGCAGCAGCTATCACTGCTGTGACCAAATTCTCATTAAGATGTCAATGATGAAGTGCAGAAGTTAACATTATGATAAAAAGTCTCCCGGATTTCGTCAATTATTTATAATGAAAGATAGTCACAAACTTTTTTCTTCATTTCACAATGAAGTTAGACTTCCCAGTTAACAGCAAGTGATATCCTCCATTAAGAGCCTGCTATCATAATCTTGGAGTTACAATTACAAGGATAGAAAGATGAAGTATGAGGGAAAGGTGAGGGTTTCTAGAGACTATTTTAAGTAATTTCCATTTGTCACCTTTTCTAGTTATGAATCAATACATTTTCTAACAACAAATAGAAAGTTAAGCAAACTCAATTTCTCTTCAGGAAATATCTGCCTTACGTATGATGTAAAACCCAATTTTATTAGAGTTTAATCTTTTGTAACTAAATGAGGTGTCTCAAGGTACTATCCTAAGTAGTTGAGGAATACTCCAATTTTTAATGTTCTACTGTTCATTCTCCTGAGAATTTAAGGGTTCTGAAGCAACAGCACCACAATGCAAGTATCTCAGACATGGTTCTGTACCTCCTCTTCCTAAAGCAGTACTAGTCCTGTCTTTGAGATATTATAACAAAGGCAAAAGTTACCCTGCTAAAAATATTTGGGCTGAATTTATATGTCTTGAGATAAAAATATAAGAAATGCACACTATCACCTCTCCTCTCAATAGACAAGACAGCTGAGAAAGTGCTATTTTTTGCTTCCACTGCTTAGTGGAAGATCTCTGTAGCCCTTCAGGCTCACTTAAATTTTATTATTGGAAAATAAACCTATAAACAGCTTTCCCAAATTAGAATATGGCAGCACTAAAAATAACTTATTCATTCAAAAACCATCAATACACACCTGCACTAAATTAAAGGAGAAAGTAATCTGGGCCTAATCACAAGAGAGTCAAAAATAAAACATTTGAGGTTCAGATGGCGTCGAAGGTTTCAGAACTTGAACAGGAAGTGTGACAAGCTAAAGCAGGAAGTACATCTACCACAATGCATTAGGCTGTGAATGTAAATGGATGTCAGTAATTTAACAAGCGTTTATTAAACTGTCTTAAAACTGCAGCAAGCCTAAATTAAACCAATACAGCCTTACAAACAAACTCCACGCATTAAAGAAGTATTTTCTTACCAACATACTGTTTTCACAGTAAACATGACTGTATGATTTTCTGTGGCTTGCAAGAGGAAGTGTGAAGTATTTTCCATCAGAATCCTTAAAAGAAAAAAACCCGCTCATTAGTAAAAAAATAACCATAAAAACACAATGAGGAAAGAATGTTACTTACATTATAAACCGAGTAAGTCCATTTTGAGGCTTTGACTGTAATCCACATGAAAGCTCCTAAAAATAAATATGTTTTTAAATGCCACAGTGCAGGAATTATTATCCTCATCTCCATTGCTTATCTTTTACTTATCACCAAGGTATTATCTCTCATCTGTAAATGACCATAAAGCTTATAGGCTTCAATCGACATTCAGGATTGCTATTGTTTAGAATTACATTCAGCAGTTATCATCAGTTGCACAGGAAACAGCAAAACTCTAAGATCCAATTTTATCACATATTAACTGTAAAAAAGCCCCTATGGATCTCAAAACAAAGCTTTCAAGGCAACAAAACAAATAAGAAACTGAATGATACTAATGTAGTTAAAATGTGACAGATTAAAGCTGAGGCAACATTAAAAACAACTTCAATCTTTGCTCCTGTTAGCCTTTTAAGAAAACTTGCATAGAAGCAAGTCAACAATGAAGTGAACAACACGTACAGGAAAATAGTAGCAGTTCAAAGATATCTCTGGAGAAAAAGAATAAGAATAATGAAGAGATCAGAGTGATCACCATCCTGGTGAAGTACTTTTTCCTAACATCTAATTGGAATTTCTTTTGTTGAAACTGGACTCTCCTGTCTATTCTGTCATCACTGTGCACCTCTGAGAAGAATTTAGCTTCACCATCTCTCCAATCTCTCATTAGGTACTTGAAGGATCCCCCTTAGCACTCTCTTTAAGGTGGAAAAAAACCCAATTCACTCAGACTCTCTCCCCCATGCCCTGCGCCCCAGGAGCTAACCATTTTGGTGGCCCTCAGCTCCATAGCCACTTCAGTATCTGTCAATGTCTAAATGCCTTCTTATACCAGGATGGCCAAAACTGGACACCTAAGTTCAAGCTACCACAGCACTTCTGCAATAGCATACATTAAGAAATTTCCTGAAATAAAGTGGTTTTCATAAAATGCTTCAGCCCACTTCAGCAAAGCTAGGAACGCAGCTATACCCTGCAAAAGTTCTGTTTAGTCCCCAAGACTCTGTGCAGTCAAAATTTCTCACCTTTAACTATGCATTCTTAGCAGTTACAAGGAAACCATCAGTGTGCAGTCTGTTTTACACTGCTGTGTCATTAAAAAAAAAGGAAGCCACTGACAAAGCACATCTGAATATTCAGGATTTCCAGGAGTAGCACAAAGCTAACACAATTACTCTACAAGACCCATGCTATCCCTCTTGCAAACATGGGTTGTAGGCATAGATCAGACTGTGCCTTTGACATCCAGCTATTCCAAATTTCTGAGATTGTCTACTGGACACCTTGGTGTAAATAAGACTCCTGCTCGCTGCCCAGAATCTAAGCCATAGGAAAATGACATATTTTACCTCCTAACCCTTTTTAATCTATTCAGTGCAGAAACCACACAAAACCTGATAGTTTAGGTCTATAACCCATACATAACTTCAGCAATGTCTGAAGGACAAAATGTATTCCAGAGGTTTGTTAGTGAAAAGATTAACTATTAACCAAGGAGTATCATTGAATCCTGTTCAAAAGAAAACTGCTTCACACCTGCTAGTTCTGTAAAAGCTTCAGGATTTTCCTCAAATATCTTTGCAGGGTGTCTCACAAAGTGGTGATTCAATACGGACATTCTCTTCTTTGGATCTTCAGTTATCTAAATAAAAGAGAGCACATTGTTAAATTTTATCTTACCAGTTTGTGTGATTTACAATCATCACATGATCATAGCTAGCAATAGAATTTTGGGGATGAGAGGCAAGAGAGATTGCTTGAAGACATGGTACACCAGTTCCATTCTAAATTCGATAATCTGAACAAATAAAGTGCCATCAACAGCCAAGCACTGCAATACATGAAGTCTACACAAGATATAAAGCATAGCTAGAACTTTTAGTTTATATCCTTGCCTACTTTTAACACAAGGAAACCATTCTATTAAAGTTCCTCTATAAACACACGATTTCTGAAATTACACACTTATGCCAGAGTTTAGGAAAAATTCTCAGGTTTATATTTGCGAGTCTGAGTTCACAAATCCACCTTACTACAATCTCATCCTAGTATTGCAGGCATCCAAATATTTGTGGAGCTACACTGGAATTCACTTTTGTTTTGGGTTGGGATTGTGTTGTTTGGTTGTTTGTTTTCCCAAAATCAAATTTCCAGTACTATTTTCTGTCTATTCAGCTTTTCAAAATAGTGGCCATTACAACTGATTTCTGAAAATTTCTGTATTTGCTTACCTCCAGCACACTGCCAGTCAACTCCAGAACAACACTATCCATTTATGTCTCTCTAAATCACATGCTAACTGAGTACATCTAAGAAACTAGAGAAGTCTGCCATGAACAGCCTCAAAAAGAACACCTAGAAAACTTCCTCTTCTATGTCTGGGGCTCTGCTCTTATGTATTTCCAACCTCCTGGATCTTAATTCAAATTCATATTCATTGCTGCATAACATTTCAGAAAGAGTACAACAGGAGAGTTCTTCAAGAGTTTTCAAAAAGTATCATGAAGGATATTTATTTAGAAAAACAATAAATAATGGTAGCTGGAGGTAAAAAATATGCTAGTATTTTACTTGCATTCTATTTTTCTAAGTGCTATTTACAAAAGAACACCACAAACGTGTGCTGGCCACTATGACACCACCACATGGGGAAGTTTGAGAAGTATTATGTCTGAGTTAAACTATCATAGATTTCACCCTTAGTATACTAGTCAGAGCAGGTGACTTGAACACACATTCAGAGGTCACATTCAAAGCTCCATACCTAGCAAAATTTGATTATCCTGGTGCAAGGCCAACTAAGCCTGCTGCACTATGGAAGGAAATTTAGGTCCACACCTCAGCTACAAAGCATCAAGCAGTCACTAATAAAAACTGAGTTAACACCTAATTATTTTGAACATGTTGGTCAAACAACAAAAAGCCACAAGATTTTTCAGTGACTTGTACAAAATAGCAACAATTTTCTCAGCATGACGCTGAGAAATAATCAAAAAGGAGTTTTCTGTATAAGAGGGTGGTATTTGACCTAATTAAGCATTCTGGGATGGAAGAAGAAAGCATGATGGAGAAATATACAGGAGATCACATATACAAACCTGCCTTGTGTTTTCATCTATGAGATCAAAAAAAGCTCTAATGGTAGCCAGGATCAGTTCTTTGCACCTAGAAGACAGAGTAAGTAAAATTAAATCTAGAAAAGAAATATCCAAGGGAATAAAAGTGGTCAGAAGAGACATCATAATAATGTTATGCTGAAGTTAATTTATTGAATGGTGTGATAACAGTAGAGAACAGAGGGATGTATGGTCAGTCAATTAACCTTTGTTCCATTAGCTTACCACACTATGGAGAGATGGTCTGTTGAGGCCCAAGCTCTAGGCACAGCTGAGCTCTGTTTGGGGAAGGAAAAATGTTAAGATTTTGTTAGTATTTGACATTTTGACACTCTAAGCAAGCCTTTCACCTCCTTATTTAAACATAATTAATTATTTTTAAAAATTAGTTCTTAAGAGTTTCAGGGACTAGGGTACAACAGAATAACTTCTTCAGGCAAAAAAAAATCTCAGAGTTGATGCACTTGTGAAACAGGACTTGTAAAACAAAATCACCAAGTTATCTGTTAGATAGCAGAGACTAACGGTGAAAGGGCAAACAGTGGTATGGACAAAACTTTGGAGACATATTTGGTAAGACTGCTTCTATGACTAATCTTACTATTTTAATAAGTGTTCTTGGCACACAAGAATAGAAGAGTGCCAATGAGAGCTGCTTCTGAAAAGTCAAGGGCATCCTTAACAGAAAAGAGCATCAGAACACCATGCAGAAAGAACTGGACAGTCTGAAACTGTTCATTTGTGTAAGTATATTGCATGTATTACCTTTTAGGGGCTAACAATGTCAAAAACCCCTCCCATAAATGGAGCTCATCATCTAGTCATACAATTTGATTCAAGTAAGCTATGAACTATTAATGCGTTGCAGTTGGGAAGAAAAAAAACCAAACAAAACCACAACAGCAAAACAACCCCTGAAACAAAACAAAATCCACAAAACCCACAAATCAAAAAAGGAACAACAAAAAAACCCCCGGTACCACTACACATGAGATCTCACGCAAAATTCTGGTCACCAACACTCAAGTGAAAGGAAAGTAGAGCAGATGCAGAGAACGGTTATAGGGCAAAGGGGCTGCAGAGTTAATCTTTTTAGCCTAGCAGAATTAGAGCTGAGACTATTTATAGACAGCTTTCTGTACAATGGACAGGGAGGTAAACACCAAGGGAATGACGATAGCATTTCAAGTTGATGTCAGAACAAACTCATTTAAGACCTGGCTTGCGCAGTAAATTGAAGCTGAAAATTACAAATTTTCTTCCTACTGGGGAGTATTTTCCAGCTTCTTTCATGCTTGGAACAAATTGATGGTGGGGGCATGGAAGGACAAACCTAACTACTTTACGATGCCTCTTGATTCATTTTGGAAGGAGACAGATGCCTGCAAAAGCAGAAGACTGGACTTGACGATCCAGTACACCCTTTCTATTCCTAAGTTCTCTGAAACTTCAAAACAGTAAATACAAAAAGAAGACTCCAAGCCAGAGCTCTTCTTTTATAATCAAACAAGCAGTTTACTTCTATACTATACATCTGTCAGTCTCCATATACACATCTCTTGCAAAAATGCGTAATAGTAAAACCCGAGTTCTGGAGCTGAAAAGGTGCAAGAAGGTGGCAAGAAGAAACAGTACCTAGTGGCAGATGGTTCAAATCAATCCCAACACATACTTCTCCAGTGGACACTCATTTATACATCAACTACGATTTTATAACCATACACTATCTACTTTGTGTTTTCACGTGTAGTATTTTCATATTTATACTATGCTGCACATGCATAGTATAATTAGACACCAGTACATGCATTACATAAGTAGCTATATAATACAGCTCCATGCAAAACCAAATAAATAGTTTGCTTTTTTACCACAACAGATAAGGCACTGTCATGTTGACTCAATCTTGGTAGAAAAGCCAGTCCTGAACGAACTTGGTAATCTCTGAATCCTCCCGCCACAGAAAGGGTAGTTAAATTTCTTAAATCTTGGGCCTTTAGAATCCAATGATTGTTTACAGCTGTATAAAAATCTATAAAATACATTAAAATCAATCACAATTTCCCCATAAGTCTATTCGATATACAAAAAAGCTATAGAAACATTTAACTAAAAGTTTCTGTAAGCCCCCATAAAGGCATTCAAGCTCTGCTTATGACTTTTGATTCATATAAGGAAGAGGCATTATTGTTTTAATCCCAAGGAGGTAGCAGTTGGGAAAGCCAGATACACTTACACTTCTATATCAGCTGAGTATATATATTGTGTAAGTAGCAAACCACAGATTTATTTTAAGGACAGATGCAGACCAGAAACAGACAGCACGGAAACACTGCATTGCAATCAATTGTAGCAGGGAGAATTAATACAAGCACAATAAATCCAATTCAGTAGCTAAAGATAATCCATTCCTCTTGGGTGCCACAGAGAATAAGGAAAATAAATGTCTATTCCCTTTCCTTCACCAATTCCCTTAATATCCACATCTAGCAGCACAATGATCACTGAGCACATATTTCATCAGTACAGTTCAGTCAAATCTAGCTTTTCAAGAACTGCATAATGATTACACTTCATTTTTTCTGTCACAGTGATTAAGGTGAGCAAAAAATACAATCTATCTTTTGTGTAAATATATTATACAAAATACATTATTACATCTATATTTAATATTCTTACCCCCCAACCTTTGGGTACAACAAACATTAAATTTAGCAACTTCTAAATATAGGCAATTCATTTGATAAAGAAAGCCATTACAGAGGTCACATTTTATAAAAAAGTAAGAAAAAATGTCACTCACTGGAGAGCTTACAAATGTAGTAACATGCTCCACAACTTACTAAAATTACAAGTTATTGAGAGCTCCAGGCCCTGCACAGAAGCTCAAGTCCACACAATTCATTTTATAGGACACCTTCCTTTCTCTCAGTATCCTAGAGTAACCACCTGAGTAACAAAGTAACAGATTAATTACAGTAAAGAAACAGCAGGTTTTGCTGTTGATCTGCAAGAATCTCATCTATGAATGCTGGGAGGATCACCAAAGAAATACAATGTAACTAGATAACCTGCAATACTTACCGGTAAGATACTTGTCTAAAGGCATCACAGGTGCAACATGAGGTGTGGCTTGTGTAATGAGGAGGTTTAGAAGTTCAGGCTTGAAATTCTTCAGAGTAAGCAATGCTCTTGCAACAAGACCTCCCATGGAATGACCTACTATTGCAACACTGGTCGGTGCAAATTCTCGATCCTTAAGCAAAGGGCAATTAGACACATCAAAAAGAGATTTGACACTGAACTAGGGTAATCAGTTGTACTTTTCTTTTTTCCCCCAAAAAAATTAACTTAGGTCCACTCAAGCATAATATTAACTAGTATCAACTTGACAAATTTACAAAATGAATATAAATTTAGTTGCTATCTCAAAAAATGTGCTTAACGTGAAGTTTGCAGCTCAAACAGAAATACTACATAGCCTGCGTAAGCATAAGAAACTTAAGCTTACTTTAATTTCTGAGACTCTTGGGGACACAGGATATCAAAGAACTTTCTTAGAGAGAAACGGATGTAAAGTGATGCTATATGAATATTTTAATAACCTAGGGAAAGTTTACGTCTCTACTACAAAAAAAGCATACGTTGTGCATGGAAGTATTTATTTAGAAACACAGTATAGAACCTAACCAAGACTTTGTGATTGTCACAAGCATTAAAAAGCTACTGAAGAGCAGCACTTCTCTACTGCACTGTTATCACATTCAATTATCTACGCATATTATAGAGTCTCCCTCCTTTACTCGTCATTCTTCAGTTTTCCTGAAGACCAGAATTCCATTTCAAAACGCAAGTACACTATACAGCGTATGTCACTACTTACCCTGTACAACTTAAGAATTACTTTTATGCATTCATGCACAAATTTGGTCTGTCGTTGCAGACTACCACCATACAACGCAACCAACTCCTCATTAAAGTTGACACTGAAGAAATTAAAATGATACTTGAAGTCAACATCCTCTGCTTTTCTAAGTGCAATGGAGCCAAGAGAACGAACTAGGAAAAAGAAATTACATCAATTAGGACAATCTAATAGTCACTGCTCAGCACTGTCATTAGTAGACAAACAAATACAAAATCTACTAAGCAACTAATGTTATCTTAAATCCATTGTTCATCTCAAGTCATTATAAAAGGATGAAGACAACATCCAAAAGCAAATAATTTCTTTTCTAATACGCAATCACACTTGTTTTACAAAACCAGATTTGAAGACACAAATAATTAGAGCAAAAGTATCAGCCAGTCACTGTCAGAACCAAATTGGGAAATGAGAAAAAAGTATTATTTCCTATTTTGATAAGAATCTGATAAAAAATATAAGTAAACATATCAGAACGTGGAAAAGACAAACCTGATAAGCACATGAAGTAGCTTACTGCAGACTACAGAGATACTTTAAATTTTTAAAAAATTACACAAGATCAAGGATTATGTTTCTTCACCTGAGGGCTACTTTTCTCATCTCATTTGCATCTTCTTACTGTCACCAGGACAAGGTGGCAAAACAAGCATTCTTTACTTAAAACTGTAGAGGCACTGCTAATGCTAGGCTTTCCTAAAATTCCTTTGAAGGCTATTGAGTCTAGGACAACATTTCCAAACATCACCGAGCTATGTATGAGGGACTGGAAAACCAAACCCCAAAGAACATTTTTTCACCTAAAATTTTGAGGGAGAAAATGTCTTGTTTACAAGGTCTTGCTTCTGACCTGTCTTCTCTGTCTAACTCTGGTTGTTATTTAATGCAGCCTTCTGCATGCAGGATTGTCCCTGAGTTGCCATGGAGACATGGTAGGATGGGAACAGTAAATGGCTGCAAATAAAAAAGCATGATAGGGATAAAGAAAATAAAAAACAAAGTCCCAAAAGAGAGTATGTACTTTTGTAAATAAACTAATGATCACCAGAAAGGTCTGCCCAAATCTGGCACCCAAATCTGCTTCTGGCAGAAGCAAGGTTCTTCTAGAGTGCAACAGTTCCTGAGATCTGCGCCCTGCAGAATCCTCCCTCTCAGGAAAGTTTTCTATAGAAATCAATGTTCATGAAAGTTCATGAAACTGGAAAATAATATTTATTACATAATTTAATGTAAGTAATACATGTATGGAGAACATGTAGAAACACCCAGCATGATGAAATTGATAAATCTAATCTATAGTCGATCATTTCACCAATTCTGTCTAAAGCTAACAAGCAATAAGAGCACCTTTGAAATTATTTGAAAAGGCCTAAAGAGTATTTAAAAGCTCAAGTATCTTATCACAACTTTATACCTGAGAAGTCATGGTAAAAGGAACAAGAATTGTCAAAGATCACAAGGCCAGTGCGTAATGGACTCCTAAACCCAACTCAAGATTTCAGTTCTCCCAATCCCAGATTAATTCGCAACAATTAAACCAGATCATCATCTTTTACGCAAAGTCTGGATTTTGTACATTATAACAGGTTCATTTTAGTGCCCATGAAAGATGATGAATTACCATGTTTCAGTGTAACACATTGAAAACACGTCTGTAGCACGTCAAAGTAACAAGTCCAGCAAAGATGGCAGCAGCACTTCCATCCTCACTGGTCAGCAAACAGGAATATATTTTAAGCAAATATGAAAATAACAGTAACAGTGTGTTCTCTGGTCATCTAGGTATCATAATTAAAATGTGTTACCCCATAACAAATTCTGAACAAAATACGAATTTTCATAAATTCCACGATAAAACAACTATTCTGAGCTTTTGATTAAGGCAGAACAATTTATATTGACAATGATTTTAAAAAATGAACAGTCTCCCTAAACCAATTTCTCAAAACAAAGAACAAAGTAAATATTTAAATATTTACTGATTTTAAGTAACACATTATACCCACAGCATGTGGCACTTCTACTCACCCAGTTTATGTTTTTCTTCATATACCTCCTTTTGATTCCTAACATACTCTGAAAGTACCATTTTATTTCCTGCCTAAGGATGTACTGGTGTGTTTTTAGACACAGCATTAATTCAGATTGGCAATAATTTATGCACAAATACAAAAGTCCATATGGTATCTCTCATAATCATTATGTTCGTAATCTTCTGTGAATACTATTGACTGTATGGGTTTTCTGAGAGTAGGAGTTGGTAAAATACTTCACTTTGTAATAAGATGTTCCCAAAGAAAATAACTTTGTAAAGGTTCTCTGACATTGGATAGTTTAACAACCAAGTTCAGTGCAAATATGAGGAAAAAATATCACAGTAAGACATCAGGGCTTAGACAGTGGTTGTTTTCCCCATACATACACATCAATTTGGCTAGTGTCATAGAAGTGTTACTGTTACAAAGCACATTTCAGAGAACAGAAATAACAGTCTGGCAAACCCAGACTGGAAGGAATACTGGATACTTGAATAAACACTTAAACACAATACTTCATGTTCATCAGCCTCCTAACTTCAGTATTTATGATGAAAAATAAAAATGCTTTAAAACTATTACTTCTTTTCATTTGGAGCCTAAAAGTGTAAGAAGGAATAACCTGGAAAACAAAAGCAGGCTAAAGTGGGAAGATGATGCTATGGAAAAAACACCAAGAGGTGGGAAATAATGAAGCTACAGGACAAGCCACAAGATTATGCTTATCTCTATCACAGGTAATTGCTTCACATCACAGATGGTAGCTTGTTCCATTTCTTCTCATCAAATCCAGGTCTTGCTTTATCTGGCATAACTGCACTAAACACTGATCAAATCAAAAACAACCAGATGTTTGCGGTCAAAAACACAGCAAGGGTGCAGTACTGCTGTAGTACAGCATAGACTGCACTGTTTCTAGCTTTCAAAAGTCAGTCTTACTGCAGAAAAAAATTATAACTCAACTGTTCAACTGACTTCAAACAAAAACAAAGTCTTTCGAGTGTTTGAAATTAACCATGGACTAACAGAGATATCTACACCATAATACGACCAATCATTACGATTTTTGCTGATATTAATTCAAACAGAACACTTCTTTGCCATTAACTAATGCATGACAATGACAGCTCTTTGTAACACACCTATAACTTAGCTAAATGCTTACCTTGTTTGTAACTGCCAGCATTCCCAGGAAGAAAGAGAACTGGAATTCCTGTCAACAGGAGATTTTTGTTTTCTTCAGCATAGTTCCCTTCACCATAGAGATAAAGCTCATATGCTGGGTATCGTCTAGCTGTTTTCTTGGGTAATTTTATTTTCTGTTGCAGAAGTTTAAAAGAAATAAATTACCTTGCCTATATTGTTGCAAGCAAGAAAATATAATGGCTATCCAGTAACTTAAATGATCTGGCATATTTTTAATGTATTGTTTTAAATCACAGTCTAAAGAACACAGAATGAAAAACTGGACTTTGCTTTAAAAAAAAAAATAAAGTGTCAAGTACTTTGTTTAAGTAGATATTGCTTGAAACAGCTATTAAACCTTAACTGGCTTTGAAGGAAGCTGCAAATGAATACAATTATGTATCTTTTAAAGTTGCACATTTGTAAATAAATCTAACCACATACTACGCTGAGGTAAATATGACAAAAACAAACAAAAAAACAAAGCAGGCATATCAAAACCCAACCACTTCTCCCAGGGCGTGAGCACTTGAAAGCAGGAACTGAGGCACGTGAGTGACCCTAATTATTCCTCCTGCACCCAGGCAGTTCTGGAATCCTTTCCAACACCACAAAACTCGGAATAAGGATGTGCTACTGCACCTGATACCAAAGCTAAATCTTGACAACAGGGTGAGGAAGGTGACTGTCAGAAGACAACTATCATGCCAGAGTCAATTACAGACGCAGTGTCAATTCTCTTTTAGGTGATTTTCACAGGGATGAAACCTGCAATAGGCATTTAACCAATAATAGTAAACATCTTAATATGGCTTATCAGAAAAAATAAACCCATGCTACTTTGGAGGCTTTCTTTGTTGTTGTCTTCAGAGCCCACTGTGTGGCCTAGTGACAACCTGGTTTTGTAAAAACTCGGGATGGAATTTACACAGTCAACTGTCATCTAAAAAAAGTCTGTATTTCTTGTATCAACACAAAGTAGCAAACTAACAACCACCTAGCCTACCACATAACTTATTCACAGGATTATGAGTAGTTTATATTTTATTTTACTGAATACGGTAAAAATTAAACTCAGTTTTGCATCAGAAATCCTCTTTGAAGTATTGCTTCCTTGAAACAGAAGCATCTCTGTTTCAGATATTTCAGCTGTTTCTCTCAACTACATCTACAGCAAAGGTGATTTAGCTTTAATCCCCAGCCAACACGCACTCTTTTCCCTTCCCCTTGTCACCTCTATCTCTCCTTAGATAAAGTGTATTTTTTTCCTCCCTTGGTCTTCAAATTGTTTGCCATATTGGTTATTTGCAACCTCTTCTTTAGATGTTTTATATATATGCTTAAAATTTATATTCTATAATATGTTTTTATAATATTATATAATAGATTATAACAAGATATACAAGAGAAAGAATGTGTTTAATTCCGTCATTGTGAACAAGCTTTGTTCAGGGCTTGTCTTCAGATCATCCTTTCGATGTTCTTTCCCTTTTCTCCATCATTTTGCCTTTCCAGCTTCACTGACCTCACTGTCCCTTTCTACAGCTCCTTTTCCAAAAGCTTTCAAAATTACATGAAAAAAAAGTAAGTTTTCATTACTAAACTAAGAGTACCATCAAGATAAGTTTATATGACTTCCTGACAGATCAAATAATCCTATTCAACTGTTCCTTCTCAGTATCTTCCTGGGTCATTGTATTTTCAGAAACTTTTAAGGACCATAAAATTAACGAGCTGACCTTCTTTGAGTCAGTGTGGAAAGCAAAACACTACACAATCCATGAGAACTGTCCTACCAAAATATTGATATATTTCTGCAAATCACGGTGCTCAAATACTACAGCAAAATGGGAACGTTTCCTACCTTCAAAGGAAAACAGACATTCATGTTGCAAGACGGTGGTTTTAAATTCTGAATTCCCAAGAGATTCCTTACATAATTGGTTGTAATGAGCTACAGTGACTTTTTACAATGTCAGTGTAGGCTTCATTTTTCACCTTGCTTCCTAAAAAATTAGGCTTATGTGAAAAAGCCCTCATTACTAATTTCCGAATCTCATACCAAGCTTAGCTGTACAGGACAAGGGTAGGCTAAATTCAAATACTGCAATTCTACAACTCATGCATAAAAAAATGGTTAAATAAAAAAAAAAAATTCAAACCGATTCCATTACTTAGTATTAGCTCAACTCTGAGCTAATCCACACTGCTAGGAAAAAAGAAATGAAATTTACGTTTAATTGCACAAATAACGACTTGTCTTGTAATGCAATACCCAAGGGAGGACAGGTACCTTTCACTTGAAATTCCTGTCTTGTGGTTTCCTACTAATGCTAGCATTGTAAAGGCATTAGAAATTAAACAAACAACATCCGCAACAATAAAGAGGTATTTGAAAAGCATAGCACCTTAGTAAATTCATAATTTTCCTCCCCAAAAAGTACTGCTTTCCACACAGTAAAAATGATTATCCAGGGATTAGAAATTCTGAGAGGCAATACAGCCAGCTGTGACTGGCATCTCCTGCATGGGAATACTGTTTACCATTTAAGCCTTGCACCTCTTACCAGCACAAAACTTGCCTAAAGACATTTAGAATTTAAGCTCTGACATAATAAATAAATACAGAAGATGTGTGGTGGCAGATAAGAATTTCAGGCAATCTCCTATAACATCACAGAGACTTTGCTAGTACCTTTCTGTCGGTTGGCTTCAGATTGAAACTGAAGGAACGGCAGGTCCTGCTTGACTAACCTGATCTCCTTTTATGACGAGGTGACCTGCTTGGTGGACGAGGAAAAGGCTGTAGACGTTGTCTACCCAGACTTTAGTAAGGCCT